ACATTTGAAGTTTGTATCGAAATGGGATCAATTTCATTCATTAAATAGGTCAGCATTGCAATTATCGAAGTAATCAACAAGAGAACAACGTTTAATTAAATACGTTTAACGTATCAAAGATTTTATTATATTTTTATTTTACCGATACACTTTTTATGTCCGTTAAGCTTGGTATTGTATTATTGAAATACATCAAACTCTATATTTAGAATTAAAATTATTTTAAATTTTTACATAATCAGAATTGAGAATAGTCTTGATGGAATTTACATGGATTAATGACGTGAATTTTTGAAGTATCATATACACGATAATTTTAAGAAATTTTATTATAACTAGAACAATGAATCGTGATATAAAAATTTACGAATGCAAAGATTATTATTAAATTTCTATATTATAAAAAAAATTAGTAAAATAAATAGGTAAATTTATTATTGAAAATTCAAAGATTTTCTTTCGTATTTTTAATTAATATTCCTTTCATTTTCTAAGAGTGTGCAGAAAAAAATAACAATATAGAAAAATTGTTAACAATCAATTTTTCACAAATTTTAATAAGAGAAAGAATTAAAGAACAATTTCAAATTATTTAAAAATTTTATAAAGACATTCTAATTATCAGTTATCTTTCCGATCGGGCAATCTTCTCAAAAGATTACGATCATCTCTCTCTCTCTCTCTCTCTCTCTCTCTCTCTCTCTATAAGTCTTGATAAAAAGAAAAAAAATATCTTCTAAAGCTTTTAATTCATCGTTAAACATGCGCTACGTTTTACCCTACATTTATTGAATCAACTTAATCACCTAAACATGATTAATTTAAAACGCATCACAGATAGTTTGCTCCACTATTAAACCACCAGAGAGCGTTTTACTCGTACGTTTAAGCGTAATGAGGCGAGTTAACGCGAAATTTTTAGTTAAATTATACCATCAAAACCGTTACGTATCCATTAAAAAGTCTTCTTACGGATAATCAAGGGTTAACTGAACCTACTTTCCACCATTAGAAGGTTAAATTGCAAACGTGTAACGACTACTTTTGCTAATTAAACGTTTCGTTCCAACCAGATCCTCCTTGTCGCGATTGCAATTTCCGGTAGAGTGTTTCCGGTGGTTGCGTAAACTCGAGATTCGAGAACGACATTAATTCTCATATTTTCATCTTAGCTGCAATTTAATTCAACCACCTCCAGCCACCACGTGTTGCTCGCGTCCGGTCGTGCACCCGCTGTATTGTCTTTATTAGAATCCCTGCTGAGCTGCCATTTCTAAATGTTTCCCTTGTTTCATGATTACGTTCACAGAGAGTTTTAAGAGGAAGGAGCGCGAGACCGAGGTGTTACTTTCTGAATTATTTTATTAATTAAATGCGCCCGCGATAAAGTGTACTCTCTCCATGGTGGGGAATGTTAATGAATTTTTTTTTCAACTTGGTGTTACGTTGCTTTCATGTTTTATTACGTAACATGCAATCATGATTTACTATTAAATTGTGTACATGCGGGGATAAAGAGAATATTTATGCTTATGAAAAAATTTAAAAGATAAGTGAAATATTATAGTTCAATCAGTAGTTCGATATATGCAAATGTTTAATAATTATTGACTAGGTTTATTATATAGGTTTTATAGGCTATCAGTCTAGGTTTATTATAGATTGAATAAAAATTTATAAGTGAACATTTTAATATGCAGAGTTTCGTGGATTCGTTAATTAAATATAATAAATATTCGTATTAAATTATTGAATAAAATTTTAAGTTTTAATTTTAAGTATTAAGTTTTTTTTGGTTTTTTTCTTCGTTTCACACTCTATTGCTTTTCGTGCTACGCATAATATCCACGACGAAATCTGAGATTAATTACTGCTTGCGATAAAAAAAAAATAGGGTCCCCGATTTATAAGGAAGGGAAATCGAATCCCTTTGTTCCAACGGAATTTTTTCATTTCTTTCACGAACAAAGCGAATTCTGATAGGGGATACGGGTAGGCTTTCCACGTGGCTCAGTCGTGCGGCATAATTTTCAATTACAATAGATTATATCGCGTTGAATTTAAACCGGGATCGAAAACGCCGGCTCTTGTTTTGACAGTATCGCCACGATGAGACCATCGCTTTCCATGTGCTGATATTAAAAACGAGTTAATAAAAACCGTTTCGATATCGCACCATCAATTTTCTGACAATTTTTCACGATGAAAATAATTTGTTTAAAAAGAACAATTCAAGCAATTAAAAGAATTATCCAGAAAGCAAATGAACGCGAATTATAATTTTGCTAGAAAATTGTGACTTTTTACATAAATGCAAACGAGGATGTGATAATGGAAATATATTATAGCATCTTTTACTTATAATTAAAAATAATGCATTAAAAAAAATTCCAATACCCATTTTGAGATGTTTCACAACAAAAACAGATTCTTTCTTTCCTTTCAATGAAAAAAATTCATCAATTAAAAAATAAAAGAACAACAAATATCACTCGTCAAACTCCATTCCACATTGAACAAGCCACGATAACTCCCGTTTCATTATTTCCCGTTTCATCTCAACCCTTCCAAATCCTGCCCAATCTTGCCAATAACTCTTCCCCCTCTTCCCGCGACACGAAAGGAGATACACTTTTTTTTTTCGTCGGCGTCCGGAGATCGTGACCAGGCTATAAACGGTCGGTTTGCGTAAACGCACAAAAATCGTCGAAACTGCATGCCGCTCGTTTACACGCGGAATATTAATTAAGCTTGGGTAAAAGCCGCGCGTGTCGCGGAACGGCGCCACTCATAACGCCGCCCGTTGTACGCGTTGAATCTCCATTACGAACGGCCGCACGTTTCCCGCGTCCGTTTTGAATTACGAGCGGAAAGTATGGAGCGATCGTAAAGCTCGTCCCCGCGGCAGCTACGAGGGAACGCGTTTAAAAGGTCCCCACACACGCGAGGACAATGCTAATAAGCGAATTATTGGGATTGGGAATTCTAAGGGTTCCCATCTAAGGATGGAGAAAGTTGAAGTTGTGTGACGATTGAAACGAATGATGTGCGTGTGCAAAGCCGATTTAAGCTCGAACCGGATGAAGAGAGAACTTTTGTGTGTAACATTGAATAGTAGAATGAAAAATGAAAAGAAGGGACGATTCTTAAGAGATCGAAAAAAAAAATTTGTTTCTTGAGTTCTTTTCTTTTTGTTTGAAAGAGAGATTTAAATTCGAAGAGTGAAGTGATGAAATGAGATGATGCTTTCTAATAACATTGAATATTGAGGAATAAAAAATGAAGGATGAAGCGAGCACTAATTAAAAATTGAAAATTTCTTGGGTATTTTGTTTTGCATTTTGTGAAACGAAGCCTATTATTTTTCTTGGTTTACTCGGTTTAAAGAAAACGGTGTTTCGTTCGAAGTTATAACGCAAAATTCTTCGAGAATATCGATAATACGTGTTCCATTTGAAAAATTAGAGGCCAGACGGAGGAAAAGGAGGAAATTCTGTGGTTAAAGGGAAACCGAAAATCGTCGTTATTCGGCCGCCGTGAGAGAGACAAATCTCGTGTGTAGCGAGCTCTAGGATCTCGTTCCCATTATTCCAGGATTTTGTGTATTACCCATAACGAATACGTCTGAGATAATAAAATAGGAAAGCCTGTTATCTCTCTTTATGGTCACAACACAGCCGGTTCAATGAACCTCTTACAGCGTTTGATATATCGATACCGTTGATAAAACATTTTTATCGTTTCGAAACACCGCATCGACTCTTCTATTCGTAATATCAACTATGATCTACGAACGTGGTTACGACGTAGTAAAATTGCGAATTCGAGGCCAAATCTTATCTATCTAGAAGAATTATAGTCGAAATGTGTAGACGTAGAATAGAACTCTGTCGCGTGACAATTTTACAATCGTTCGTTTTACATTTTTAAGAATTTTTAACGCGTATCATTGCAAAGAGATTCGATCATGATTCTTGTGAAAGCAACGAGAAGAAATATTATTATATCCAAGCGCTTATTCCATTGCTGGATTAAAATACCGCAGCGATTCTCATATATCAAAAAAAACATATAACAAATAATTTTTATGCGACGCAATCACCGAAACGAACGCATCGTTGAATCAACATCAACCATCCCCATCCAGCGTATATTCTTCCTGCTGCCAATTCGCAACTCCTCGAATTTTCATTTACCCACGCAATAAAACGCGGGTAGGCGGCTGTGCGTTGGAATTTAATCCCCTTGCCGAATGAAACTCGCATTAGCCGGGACACAATTTCACGCTAATTTCCCGACCGCGGTCTCTGCATCTCGTCTCGAGGAGACGATGTCGCGCGAAGACGAACGTACCGGCAAATATCTTCGCCTTTGCTAAATCTCGCTCCTTTAAAGAGTCCACAAGAGAATCTCATTCCTCTCCACGACCTCCATCGATCGACGAGACTCCGTAATATCGTCGGTATTCTGAGCGTGTACTTGCCACTTCACTTTTTTCTGGAAATTCATTTTCATTGGTGGAAAGAAGTCTCGTGAAGAGAATCGCGCTGATTCGAGGATTGGAAAGAGGAGATGCATTTCTTTTTTTCATTTACTTCTCATTCGTCGATATAACTGGTCCTCTATAAATGAAGATAATTAGATCTTATTCGTACAATAGAATCCCTCTATTCGTGATTTTTATTCAAGAGGAATCTGTTACGAGCAATCCTCGTTCATTTACACTGATTACGAGTCATTCTGAAGAACTTTTGATTTAGAGAATTAGGAAAAACAGATCGAATGATCATTATTTTTTTTCGTGCAACTATCTAAACGAGATGGAGGACGTCTATCGCGAGAATTCTTTCGAGAGAATTGCGGGGAGGTGCTACAATGAATCTACCGAGGCCAATTTAGCAATTAAACTAGCCGAGGAGAAGAACGAAAACTAAACCAGATGAGGCCCTTCCTCGAACGGGGAGGGTAATCGTTGCTACCACTACAACGGCCCCGCGACCACGGTTGCTGCCACTACAACAGCGCCACCATCGGTATCGTCGCCATTGGCAAAACCCTTTCGCAAGATTTACGCGCCCGGCATCCGGGGCGAGTCCGTGATTCTTGTATGGACACAACGATGGAGGATTGGATGCAGGGATTGGTAAGAAGGTTACGTTATTGCCGAGCTTCACGGCCCATAGAGCAACAGATCGCGGCAATAACTTGGCAGAAGGAGACAGTCAGTAGTAACGCAGCTTACCTTTGCGGCAGGGAAATGGCGGAATGGTGCGCTTGCAACTGCGAGATTCAACGAGGAGAGGGAAGATGGAACGGCTATCGCGTTTGCATCGTGGTAAGCACGGTTTCATTGGTCGATGCTTGCCTCTTTGTTCACAGCGGACTCGGTCTTTTGTTATAGGCCACTAAACGAACGACTCTATTTTGCATCGTTGAAAGGGCTCGAACTGTTAGAAACTCTTTTTTTTTTATGCAGCGACGATAGCGAGGAATGGGCGCTGCTTGTTCTCGATTCCTTTTTTTTTTTTTTTCTTTCTAGAAAGTATGTCGAAACTAGCGTTTGTAGAGGCGAATAGAAGTCTGTTTCACGAATATACAGAGAATAATTTTGAGGGTGTTTGTGACAGTAAGAAAAAGAAATGAAAAATTACTTTGAAGTTTCGTCAGCATTGCGGTTAGATACTTTGTAAGTCAAATGATACGCGGAACTGTCATATTTTTTGGTGATTGAATATCAACGGTTTTTTTAAAGTTTTCGAATACAAAGAATCCTCTAGATTTCTCTACTATTTCTATATTACTAATATTTTGAATTCAGAAATGAATCTAAAAAAATTCCTCTATATTTCCCTTTGAATTTCTAATATCCAGTACAAAAGCTTAATTACATTATAATCCTCGTAACTGAATTCTTTAAAAAAAAAAGAAAATGATTCGTTATCAATCAGTTTGTAAAAATTTAATGCACGACTAATAAACAAGTTAAGCAAAACGTAACGAGATATCATATCGTGGGATTAATTAATTAATTAAAAAATTAATCCGGAGTTAACCGGAGGTGAATCACGGTTACCTGTTCGCGATTTCACACAGTGTGGATTCTATCTGAACGCCTCGCATACCCGGGAAACTAATAATAAAATTGTTCGTTCGAGAAGAGAGACAGTTATGCAACGACAAGTATGCCACGAATTCTTCGGGTTTTCGACGATTACCTGGCACGCGGCGCCATAGGTAACCCCCCATCTTCGAACGACTGCGGATTACGCGACCTCATCCATCCCTGCGGCCGAGGGGTAGCCGAATTAGTAACCGCACTTTGGACGATAGTTCATTATGCTAATTAAAGTTGGCTAAATATCCTGTGAACGAACCGCCCCATATTTCCGAGATTCTTCCCTCCGTTTCCACCATTGCCTCCCCCTCTTTCTCGCTCTCTCTTTTTCTCTCCTTCCTTCGTTTCCCCCTCCTTTTTTTTTCCTGGCCGCTTGCCGCGTCCGGCGGCGATCTTAGGCGCGGCCACCACGTCCATCCGCACATTTTTCTTCGGCCCGTGTATCAGACTGCTGCGGTCGAGGGTTGCGCTTTGTGTGCAGCCTCGATGCCCCTCGTTCGATCGTATTAAACGAGCACGGGGAAAAAATTCGGGCGGGAATAACCATTAGCTTAATGTCTTGTGTCGGACGGGTATGTGTGACGCTGTACGTGAAGGTTTGACCAAGTGTTTCGGACGTAGCGAATAACTCGGTTTTTATTTTTATTTTGATGAATGTATGCCTGTTGGGAAGATTAAGTATTGGATCTGTATAAAGTGTGTTTCCTTGTTAGATGAAACGTTTTAATATTGTTATGAATTCTCGATAATGAAGTATATATCATTGTTTCATTCATGTGTGGTTTGGGAAAATATTTTAGATTTCTTTCTAATTTTCAACTTTTGAAAAAAAAAAAAGTGAAAGTTGTACAATTTCGGGCCAGTGTGTACTCCTACACTATAAGAATTAAATTTCACTTTTATTATTTCATTATTATTATCATTATCACAATTTAATATTGATTCCATTCTCGGATATGTATCAATATAATAATTGCAAGTAATAAAGTAAGCAAATATATAACACAGCTATTCGGAAAATATCTCGTTGTAACGACGTACAATTTACCAAGGAAAATCGGCTAGTGAAACGGAATTGAAATATAGATATTTTGGGTAATTGCGTTTCAATGCAAAATTCGGAAAAAACTGGGGAGGAGAGCGAACGGTAGTCCGGCTTTTGAATGTTTGCACGGCGGAAGTGTGGCCGGCGGCGGCCTCGGCGGAAATAAAATTTTTGGCAACGTTTCAATGACAACGAGCCACCGTGGCTCGTGTACCACGTTTTTTAATTAACTAGCTACAAGTATTCCCGGACGATGATAATTTTCAACAGTGGATCCGGAAAGTGGGCCACTCCATGGAATGAGCTACGTCGCATCCGCAGGGATATGCCGATTTACGACTTCCTTTCTGTTGTAAATGTATATATTGTCGAAGAGTCGTGGATGGGAAAGGAATTTTTCTTTTCGCCTTTCGACTACGCGAAAAATGCCTGGTAAATGAGGTATTTGCAATTTTTAAAATCGATATTTTTAACTATTTTTTTATTATTAATATTTTGATTTTACTTGTTTCAAACATATGAATTTTGTATGTAACTGCGCAATGCATTAATTTGAATAATTAAACATTGTTTGGGTAGTAAATAAATTAAAGAAAATTGGAATTATCTGTAACAATATTTCGTTACAATATGATAATTTGTAATAAGAAAAAAAAATATGAATATTGGTAGAGGTGCTAATAATCTTTTTCAATTTTTTTTTTCATTTCTATATCTTTTAAAATTTGCAATAAGAATAGATTTGAGTATTATTTATTTCATTCCAAGCCATTCAATTATACAATTTATAACGAATAAATCTTAAATTTTGTTTTATAAAAGCGAAGAAAAATTCTACTATGAATCTATCAATCAAATTCTTCTTAAAAATTGATAACTCGATATTACTATTATGTAATCAATTGTGTGCAATAACTTAGTATGTGCACAGTTTCTATTTCTAATTCTCTTAGCGGTGTTAAGCGATTCCATTAGCAGTCTAATTTTCTGTGATAAATTATGTACATCGATAGCCTCTGAACAACGTACGTGTCTAATTATCAATTTATTCCCGAGCCATTAACTCGATCACTAACGACAGTAATCAACAATGGTATACTCGTACAGGAGAAGCTGAATAAATCAGTGAAATGACCAACATTTCCATCAAATTTCCATTCGTTCTCGCCAGAAGGGATGAAACAAAACAAAAAAAAAAAAAACAAAAAAAAACAAGAGAAAATATCATTGTTCTGTTTAACATTTTATCTTGTTTCATTAAAAAATTAAATTAAATCACATTACGGATTAAAAAACATATGATCACACGTTAGGATGAGATCAAATTTGCATGGTCATATTCAAAGATGAAAAAAAATTGCTTCCAATCTTCCACATTTATTTTGCAAAATATAATATTGACGAAACTAATATTTTTTAAATGCCATAAAGATTTTGAAGTTTTAATTTTAAAATAATTTTAAACGTGTTTTTAAAATAATATAAAATTATTTAATCGTTTAATCCTTATTTTTTTCAATTTTTTTTATATTATCAATATTTTAAAATGAAATATACAAAGTAATAGAATATAAATAAGAAATTAAGAATACCAGCATAATAATTTTCATTTATCCAATTTATTCGTAAAACGTAATGCAAATATTCTATATTCAAAATTAATTTTACATAATGAAAATATGCTTTCGTTAAAAACAAAAATTATATTCTTGCAAAATTACCGAACAAGAATTTATGAAATCGATGCAAATAATGATTTCCACCTATCGTTCGCCACCTACCCTTGCAACAAGTATTTAAATTAATGAAATTCAAATTTCGACATAATTAGTTACATATCAAAAAGTCTTTCTCTCTCGTATTTCCATTTTACCATTTTACGCGTATCACATACAATTATTTCCATGACGCAACGTTAATTCTAATTTCCTGCGTACCTTCATCGTCAAAAGAATAATCCTCAAACAACGAGACAAGCGATCGAATTTCAATTATAGCTCGCGTCTCATCGAGATAATCTCGAAACGAAAGGAAAATTAATCGGCAACTAACGTGGAAAAAACGAGCGAACGTTGCCGCGATTTTGCGTAAAAGTGGATCTCGATCGACAGCCGAGTCGGGGTTCATAAATAATGCGACGATCAGCAGGAATTATCGGTGAGGCGGGGAGGCCGGTGTGCGGTGGCCAAGTGCGGGTAATCGTGACACGGCGCACGTCGCCGACTGGATTTTACGGTCGGAATCGACATCGGGAACGGGCTTTGCACGTCAACGGGCGTACAGCTAATTCCCGGCCCGGTACTGCCTTTCCACGAGCAAAGTCGTCCGTCTCTCGATCGCTTTCCACCACGTTGCCAATGCCGTTGCAGGGGGGGCGATAGAATTCACGAGGAATCAATCGATGTTCGAGCTTTCTACGGCCGATCGGGATTTCCTGCGGCGGCGGTTCACGCGTATTCTCCTACGAACGCCGAAATGTTAACACAGAGAGAGGAAGAGAGAGAGAGAGAGAGAGTGAGGGAGGGAGAGAGGTGGAAAGGGTGGCAGAGGAGGCGAGATAGCAAAGTGGAAAGTGAAAGAGGTAGAACGAGAGCGAACGTTAGGTTGCACCTCCATGGTGGTGGTACATAAAGACAGCTTTCGCCCGTTATCGAGCCCGATTCCAACCCCGTCGTTGTCCCCCTCCATCAGCCAAACCCACGCCACACCAACCTCTGCCTCTACTGCCCTTATCGGCTCAACAAATTTAACTTGATTTCCTATACGGACTTTGCGGAGCTCCGGGGAAATACAGAGCTGGCTTCGGCCCGTCTACGTCTAAACTCGCTTTACGATAAGGGATAAGCCTCACCCTACATCCACCATCCCTCCTTCCTTCCTCATTCGCCTTCCTCTTTTCCTCTCTTTCACCCCTCTTTCCCTCCATCCGATCGTCTCTCTCTCTCGCTCTCTTTCTTGTTAGTCGAGTACGAGCACCGCCACGAACCATCCGTTCAACGATGTCGAATCCTCTTGACCCGACCGGACCGAACTTTTCGTCCACGAGGGGTCGAGAAAAAGGGGAGGAGAAGTTTTCGAAGTAGCACGGTTTCCTTCGCGCCGAAAAAGATCCAATGAGATTTCTCCTCAAGGACGAGAGGAACGTGCCACCGACTTGCTTGCTGGTTCCGTTTGTTGCGAGATCGATGGTTATTTTTTGAGCTTAGTTATGGAATAAGAGAGAATTGTGTGAATTGTTTTCAGAATTGTGGATCGGGAGAAGGTGAGATAAGTGGGATGATGCGTGAAAAATATACTCGTTTCATTGTTTTTGTACAAAAAGATTTTGGAAGTGAAGAAATTGGAATTTATTTTTAGAATCTATTAGATTTCTAAAAATTGTATATTAAGG